CATGATCTTTTAAAAAATATTCAGACAATAGTTCAACCGCACCCAAATAATTTCCGTTATGATCTTCGCCTATCTTTTCATTACTACCTCTAAATGCTAACTCTCATGTTGCTAAAAATTTTATAACGCTAACAATTCTTTTTAATACGTTAATTCAATACTCCTTTGCTACTTTACATTCTTTTTCAAGTTTATTATCAATTCATTCAGTAGTAAAAGAGCGGAAAATATATACCCTTAGATTGTTTAAATGCTCGCATGATCGTTCATGTACATCAAATCTTTCTTTATGCCTATTCTAGGATGAAAAACCTCTTTTAAACTGGTTGACTGATCCATCAAACAACATACAATAAAGGCAGTACACATTACCTGTGCTTTCAGAATATATTGCCCAATCTCGACGTAAAATTTCTCCATTCTTTAACTTTCTGTAGAACATTTGTTTATTTGCCCACCTGTTTTGTCCTTAAAATGGCCTCTTAGATTTGGAAAAATTACTTTGTTCCAAATTCTGACCTTTCCAAGACTCTAGAATTATTTCAATATCTCGACCAGTGTTCCATAGGGCTAGATCTTTAAAATCTGCTAAAATTATTTCTTACTAGTGCTCTGCCTGCGCACCGCCCTATTCCGATTTGCCGCCCGGTACTAAAGCCCCAAATAGCACCCATGTAAAACCGGCACTGTTACAGATTAGGGAATACACTGGGAAATCTTGACATTAAGCCAGGTCACATGAGTATCTCAAGATTAGTGACAGGAGACGTGGTAGACATGAGATCAGACCACATAACCAAGAGGTACTTTTTTTATGCTCCATTTGATGTTTTAATACAGGAAAGATCGGAGATCACCATAAGGGAGCCGAGCCCAATGCCCAACGACAGTAACAAACCTGGTATACAGACGGGTCTAAGACTGCGGAAGGCACTGGGACTCGAGTATTCTTCAAAAACCCTGATAGCTATGCTGTAGGAATACATTCCTCGGTATTTCAGGCCGAGGTATACGCAATTTTGCGATGTGAAAAAACGAACAATGAAAGAGCTGTCGAAAATCAGCATATTCAAATGTCAGACAGCCAGGCGGCACTTAAGGCCATATCGAGTCAGAAAGTTACGTCGAAGCTGGTATGGGAATGCAACGAAGAACTAAGAACACTGGCAGACCGAAATAGAGTAAATCTATTTTGGGTGCCAGGTCACCAAGGGATCGAAGGCAACGAAAAGGCTGACGAACTTGCAAAAAGAGGGTTAGAACAAACACCAGAACCAGACACAAACCCAGGAGTACCAAAAAGTACAGTCTGGGGTTTCATAAACGACTGGATTTGGGAACAAAATGTTAACTATTGGGGAGGCATCCCAAAACAGGCACATCGAAAAGCCTTCATAGGCAGATCATGTCCCAAAATAACTGGAGAACTACTCTTTATGAATAGGAACCAGTTGAAAGTGATAACAGGGTTCATGACTGGGCACATCCCAGTAAAGGGACACTTGAACAAAATTGGCATGTACAATGGGAGACTATGTGGCGACTATGTCACAAGAAACCAGAAACGGCCAAACACATACTGTGCGAAGTTCTAGATCGTAGAAGACAGGCTTTTTTTGGACAACCCCAGGTTGATCCAACAACGTATAGAACCCACTCACCCAAGCATCTGTACAAACTTGTACAAGGTAGAAAGATGACAGAGTGGGTGCTATGAACTAACAACTAACATGGGGTACAACACATAAGCCAATAGGCTTCAGTGTTATTCAGAGACATAGTCAGACGAGCCCAGGAGAAAACAAAAAACATGAATACCGAGTTGGATTTTAGATCCTTTCGCAAATGCAGTTACTGAAGATTCATCAAAGGACTCCTCACTTTTTTCATTGATTTTGAATACTGTCAGAATTTGTTAAAATTTTAGTATGTTACTTTTCCAGTCATAATGGGCAACTTTCTTATGGCCCTCAAGTTTGCAGCATTACAGGGTGAGCTGTTAGAAGGAATCAAAAGTAAGGAGACTAAAAATAATAATAATACTACTCTCCCTAATTCACCCCCTTACGAGTGAATTTCAACCCCTGAAGTGGACTGAACGACTTGTGTAGGGGAAGGGACGGCTATCATTATTATTTTCCGTGGCGCTCCGGGGCGACTTAAAGATGATTGATGGTGCCATTTGACTTACAGGTGAGGAAAACCCGGAAAACCTCACCCACCATAATATTTTCATATATCTCTACCACCCTTAAGTAATTACTGTTTTTTAATGAAACTCATGACACGTGTTACACTTGTATATAGTTTGTTAATACTTACTTTTACTTTTTAAAATAAATCATACAGAGTGTTCAAAAAAATAGGAAAATTAATTATTGAAATAAAGTGCATTTTAATGTACTACCATAATTAAAACATGACTTCTGATCACTTATTTGTTATATTAAATACTAGATATTAATAATACAGAGTGTGATAGAAATACATTAATAACATTTAATACAAAAATATATCATATACCTATCAGTTTCTTTTCATACATTTTTAGACTTCCCGCTAAATTTTAAATACCTACATATAAAATAAAACTGCAGTTTTAAAAACCTATTTTATTATATACATTAACTATTTCCGCACCTTCATAATCTTCATAATCTTCATAATCTGACTCATCTTTCAGCAGCATCTAAAATAGTCCTTAATAAAACACTTGAAGAGTAGATAATTCATATAATTTTCGAATCGTGCATATTTCAGGTAGGTACCGCAAAACACTTGAAATATGAGCACACGTGTCTATATCTACAGTTCTTAAACCAGTCTTACATGTACTGTACAGCAATATATTATTATAGTAATGGGATTCTCTTAAATTTTATTGCACTCTATAAAAAGTGTGCTTCACATTATTCGCAAATCTAGAACATATTGCAGAAAAAACGAAGACACGTCACATAAAAAGTTTCCTAACAAGAACTAACTACCTACTATCAAAAAATTCCTAATAACAAACTTTTGAAAGTGTTCTTAATATTAGCCCAAAAAAGAAAAAGAAAATATAAAATGTTAAATACAATGGCTATATTTATTCCACATCCGAACGTTTGTTTATCCATATCAGACGCATCTGCTCCAACTACATTTACGTATCTTGAATCACGTGATCAAATTTTCACATCAGAGATCCATCCGATATAGATAAACAAACGCAGCAAATGTAGTCTGAAATTACAAACATTACAACGTGTTAGCCCTATCATGATAATTTAGCTGTTATTTATTCTAACAATCGCAAACCTTTTATCTCATAGAATCCTTTTGTAATTATTCTGATTGATAAACAAAGAAACAAAAAAAGTTATGTCATAGGCTTAGAAAATAATCTAAAGCGAGATTAAAGTATCTAGTGGTGTAGAATAGCTAAACTGTAAGAATTGGCCATGATTAAATATCATTAGTATTCATATCACGAAGTTTTTTAAATAAAGTACTTTTTCAAAAACTGTAAGTATTGCGCAAAAAAGGCTCTAAATATTAGAGATTATATACAGAAATAAAGATAAATCACCAAAAAAGAAAAGTCTAGATACTGACTAAACCGTCCTCAAACGTCTAAATTTTACTGTAATTGTGCCAATCTATTTCTACTTTAATAATAAATATTTATTGTTTAAAACCAATGCGTATATCATATTGCACCAATTGATTTGCAAATGATTTTATTGGTATTAATAGGTCCGTATTTGAATTACGTATTATAAATATAATTTAAAAAGACGAAGAAGTGCCATATTACTATTGGCACATGGCCAATCTCATATACATATAAAAATCGTAATAAAATTTTCCGAAGACCACTCGCATTTATATTTATATTGAGTAAATTAACTGAAATCGTTCGAATTCTGAAGTGAAACAAACAAATTATATTGGTAGCTAATAATATCCAGCATTTAAATTGTTGAATCATAAATGTCTAACAAATAACACGTTATAGTTTTATTACTGTTAATTATACACTATTTTTCGACAAATAATTCATACTTTACTGTCCCATACATAGGCAATGTCGACCACTCAACGTTTTTCAATACGCTTTGCATAATTTAATGTGAAAACTACAGAGAGTTAGCATTACTCCGAGTAGGAAACGAAAAATATCAGCGCGGCATCGTTGCCATTTTATACGGCCAACCGCGCTGTAACGTTGGCAACGCTAATATGATTCGTTGCTGCTTATTTTAAATAGGTACAGGTCATTGTATTTTGGAATGATTAGCTATATTTTAGATTCTGGAAAACTGGTGTCTAATGACCAGCATGTTGGTCGTAAGTAACTTATATTAATATATTGAATATAATGTTCTCTATGATTAAGATGCCCATTGCCCATTTTTTTTTCGTTAGAATTAACATAGGAATCATACTGCGTATACAGGGTATATTTCTATATCTACTCTTAAAAGTCCGATTCTATAGAAATGATTGCAAGATTTTCCAATTGTCCCGGACCCATTCTAGACTATAAGTATTTTATTAATTTTGGTTTAGAAAATGTCTCTTAGCTTTTGCTACAGTTGGTATAGTTAAGAGAAAACGCAATTGTAAAATAAAGGTCTATTTCGATTTTCTGTCTTCATTTAATTAGATTCAATGATATAGATTCAATTATATAAATTCAATGATATAGATTTAATGATATAAATTCAGTGATATAGATTACATTTTTCTATCGTCTTTAAGGACAAATGCCAACCTAAACATTAGTTTTTATAATTTGAAATCTTTGTCATTTTTAACAGTATTTTTTTGTTTTGTTAGTGTTGTTGTATTGTAATAAAAAATATTATATTTTATCACTGTTTTTGTATGATTACTTCAAATACTAAAGTTTACAACAAATCTTCATGAACCGAATTTGTGAAAAAAGTTAAAGGAGACCTAGCACATCCCTACAAATACCTCCACATAAATTTGTATGAATCTTACATTTTCAGAGCGTTTTACAACAAACTAATGTCAGCAGAGATGGCGAACTTCTGGCAAATATACAAAAACAACATGCAATGGCAAATAGAGTTCCACAAAATCTTACGCTTAACACCAGCAATCATTCCAAGAAACAAGGTGTTTCGGCTGAATCAAGCGAAGCTGCTGGAGAAGCAGTTAATATTTCCATAATGAAATATGATAAAGACTTTAGGTTAGTTTTATTTTGCATAATTACACTAACTGAATTTCAGTAGAAACTTGATAAATCTTCATGTCCAAAACCAACTATAAGAAAAATAATTTCCGACTTAATTTTTTTTTTTAGATCCAAACAACTAATCAAAGGTGCCATAATGGATAACAGTTTTCTAAAACACTTAGACACATCACAAGTACGAGAAATGGTGGATGCCATGTACGCCAAAGAGTTCTCAGCTGGTGCATTGGTGGTTAAAGAAGGTGAAACAGGGATTCATTTGTATGTTTCTGGAGAAGGAGATTTTGAAATTATTAAAGATGGTAAAGTGTTAGGACTCATGGGACCGGGAAAAGCATTTGGAGAACTTGCTATTTTGTACAATTGCACTAGAACTGCTTCTATTCGCGGTAAGTACTTCATATTATTTAAAGGATGGTTAGTAAAATTTAAGTTTTCACAATATTTACAGAAATTTAATGAATTGGATCATATTTTGCAAAACCTACGATCTGCAAAGTTTTCAGTATGCTATACTCTAGAACAGGGGCGGCTTGTGACCAAAATTTTGGGGTTCACAGTAGCAGAATATAGATCCTGGTGCAGATATAGTAAAAAATGTCAGTGTTTCAGAAAGTTATATTATAAACTTTCTGAAACACTGAAAGTTTTTTTCATACATCTGTACTGATACCTATATTCTGTCACTATAAACCCCCCTACGAGCCGCCACTGCTCTAGAACAAGCCTATATGTCAATACACGCCTCGTGACAAGCATCCAAAGCTTGTAAGATTAGACGTTTTCTAATATTCATCGATGCCATCTAGATTTCATCAAAACTGTTCTTTTATCCATCAAATTTTTTTAGATAAGTCATATATCATATTCTTAAATTCAACTTAATTCTCAGATTTTTGTCACCAAATCCATCAACTTGATTAAGTTGATGCACTGATGGATCACGTAACATAACCTTAAATAATTAATTAATACTAAACAGATAAGGAAATAGGAAATGTTTGCTTAAAATTTCTAATAATATGAATGAAGAAACTCACTGGGTTTTTAAACCAACCTTTAAGTGGGCTAACTTTTAAAATAAGAATGTTAGCGTTAGATATACAGCAAGCAAATGATAGTATGAGAGCCCACTGCAAATTTCGACCGTCATCTGAGAACGAAATGAAATATGCTCCAAAGGCATGTAACAACATTGTAGTTTACCAAATTGCACCTGTGCCAATCCCTAACCTGAGCAAAGTGGTTAAAAAAAATTATTTTATATTCAAAAAATCACATAAAACATGACAGCGACAATTATATTTTCCCTGAAAATTACAATCCTAATTCATTGTGAACCTAGCTTTTAAACCTGAATTATTAATATTTTTAACTACCTTTTAAACCATGTTCATGTATGAAAGGAAGAAGGATGGCATTGTATAAACCATTTGCAGAGATAGTCAATAATAATTATAAAATCTTGTTAGACAATTATTTTAAACCATAATCATAGTAGTTTTTTTGTCGTTTCTATGGCAACCTGTGAAAATGAATCACAACAATAGGCATACAAATAAATTTTTAAATTAGCAAACATTGATTCATATTTTTAATGATTTTTACCTACTAATTGTGGATAGATGTTTTTGTGCGATGTTAAGAGGAAGAAAATGTTTCCCTTTAACGATATATATCAAGATATATTTAAATAATATTTTCTGGAAAACTTTAAGGGCAAACAAAATTAGCGCTGTCATGTCTTATGTGATTTTTTTAATATAAAATAATTTTTTTAAGCCACTTTGCTCAGGATTGGGATTGGCACAGGTGCCATTTAGTAAAGTTCAATATTTTTCCATGCTTTTGGGGTATATTTCATTTCGTTATCAGATGACGGTAAAAATTTGCAGTGGGCTCTTGGGCTATGAAGAGAGGTACATATGTTTTTAATTATTGTATTGCCCGTACTTACTTGTCTTTAGTTTTTATGCTTATCAAAAAATCTTTGAATTGTTTATTTTCTTTAAATAAAGATAGTTTGACAGTTAAGATTATAAAATCACAAAAGTCAGTCGTTCTCAAATAATTTTCTTCAGATAAAAAGCATGATTGCAGCAGTCGGCCATTTATTGGTCACGTGATCCATCATCAGTACATCATTTTGTTGAATATTGGAAAACGCCTATTGTTGGAGTACTACCTATGGTAATTTGGTTATGTGAATATCTAATCTGTCAAATCGGTGTTTTTTTTTTCGATTTATGGCCTAGGTGTATATACCTAATATGCCAGTCTCAAGTTTGTGTTTTAAATTCTCAATCATGTGTGTTCTGTGTAGGCTTTGTTACTGTTACTCAGCGCCACTTCAGGAACAGCACTGTTAATTAGAACCCAACAGTGAATGGTCGAGTGGGGAATCCTACCAAGGCATCAGAATTAATTTTAAATAATTAAATTAAATAAAAAAATCCTGGCCAACGGTGGAATTCAAACCTGGAACCCTTGGATCCACAGGCAGAGACTCTACCACTAAGCCACCCACCCACTAAATCGGTGTTAAATTCATATTTTACTATTTTCGACTTTTGAAACTTGCAGCAATCTTTTACAATCATAATAAACTTATTTTATTTCCTTTAAGGGTGAAATGGGACAATCTGATTAGCTCAGTCAAGCAAGTCTTGGTGCATTTTATAATTCTCAAAATTGTCCCTTGGTTTGTAACCTTGATCAGAATAAAGCTATAAGAACTGGATCTGTCAAGCTCTACCTGTTTTCTGCAGCTGTTATATTGAATTCATTATAAAGTCATAAAGTTTTCTATTTTTAGTATCTGGTAACTTCATAGTAGTTCTATACTTCTATTCTATAAAACCTATTTTGGCACCACTTTGTATGTATACATTACAAGATCTGCAGGTCTAATAGGCCCCTGATTTGATAAATTATCTTTCTCCATTTCCGCCTTTGTCTCTTCAGTTGTTGATCTTCAAAGACATAGATAGCATTTTGCTCTTGAGTTCATGTATACATTTGTTTCCTTTCCAGTAATCTGCTCTATATTTTTTAATAATTTATTTTCTGCAAAATTCTGCTCCTGAATAAGTAAATGACTCAATTTCTTCAAAGCTGTAGACTTTTTCTCTTAATGTTGTCACATAAAAATTTTAGCAACTTTTTTTTGGCGTATGTCATATATATATTTCGTCTTCTTTTGATTTATTCCAGCCCCAGTGTCGCTGAGTTTTGCTCCAATCGTAACACGGAGAATCGTAGCAATACATCTCAAAATTACCGTTTCTTTTTTATTGCTATAACGTCATCTGCAAATGCCAATCGCTTTTTGCATAGTGAAGTCAAGTACATAGATAAATAATGTCCTTCTATCACCTCCAAGTTTTCGGTTACTTCAGTTCCATTCTAATATAGTATTCTGTCTCTTCAAGCGTTATAGGTACCTTTTATGTTTATAATTTTTTTTGTAAAATTTAAAACATTATTAAGATATATTTTTTTAAATGAAATGCAGATAATAGCTATTTTGGAAATTGATTTAAAATATTTGAACTTTAATAACACATAAAAATAAACTATTTTTCGAACAGGTTACATGGCTAATGCCCTTTGTCTTTATTTATCTGGCAAGTGTTTGTTTACATCTTTGTTTATTTTGTCTCTGCAAACGTAAATCTCACGGTTTTTATCTTCTTATTTTGTATAACAGCGTTTTTCCATGCTTCTCGTAAACAATACATTGATAATGATACAATGAATAATATTTAGCAATATCGCTTTATCTGTAGGTACCGCAAACAAATTAGACCAAAATTGTAAAATATATAATAGGCGCTTACAATTTGTTTTATTCATTCATTACCAAGTTTTTCATTAGCCAACCTCTCCAAAAAAAAAACATTGAAAATGGAGAAGGATTTGGTAAAACAGTGACTTTAAAAAACTAAATTTTTAATAATTTATTAGTAGTTTTAAATATTTATTTTATATTTATTTTTAAATCTAAAAATAGTTTTCATATATAGTGATAAAAATGAAAACTGTTCCTAATTACTTAACTTATATGGTTGCAGCTGTTACTGGCGTAAAAGTATGGATACTGGACAGAAAGGTTTTCCAGCAAATTATGATGAGAACTGGTTTACAAAGGCTGGAGGATAATCTTAAATTCCTAAAATCGGTTCCTCTTCTTCAGAATCTCAGTAATGATGTCTTAGCGAAGATTGCCGATTCATTAGAGGTGGTAAGTATTTTCTTTGAACAATTACACTTTGTTGTGAAATATTGCATAATTTTCCTAATAATTACAATATCTCAATAAGTAATGATTATACTGTTATAGGCCAATTTTTTCTGGGTTTGATTCCGACATACTAGAGATATTTTATAGTTTTTTACGTTTTTCAAGTTTTGAACCGCGATATATATTTCTTTGTTTGATTTTTTAAAATTTATTATTTCTACTACTTTAGACCTCAATCCATTTTCACAGAGATATAATAATTCGAAAAAATTGTTTGTCTTACATCTTTGCTTCACTATTTTTGTTATATTTCCAAAATCTGTAAGAACCCTTAACAAATTTTCATATTAAACAATTATTTTGTTCAAATTGTAAAATTATTTATCGTAAAATCGCAAATTAAATTTCGAAGTCAGGGAAATATCTGAAATAAGTGGCTGAATAAGTCGGACACATCATAAAAAATCCCCCTACGAATTATTAAACCGTCCCCGAACTCCAAAGATAAAAACAAATTGTTGTTATTTAAAAAAGCCAAGAATCGAACCCGGAATGCTAGACAAGTGCCCTTCCTTCTGGACCATCACAACATTAACATTGACTGACGAGATTGTATGCGCTATTATTTCTTCTTCTTCTTCTTCTTCTTCTTCTTCTTCTTCTTCTTCTTCTTCTTCTTCTTCTTCTTCTTCTTCTTCTTCTTCTTCTTCTTCTTCTTCTTCTTCTTCTTCTTCTTCTTCTTCTTCTTCTTCTTCTTCTTCTTCTTCTTCTTCTTCTTCTTCTTCTTCTTCTTCTTCTTCTTCTTCTTCTTCTTCTTCTTCTTCTTCTTCTTCTTCTTCTTCTTCTTCTTCTTCTTCTTCTTCTTCTTCTTCTTCTTCTTCTTCTTCTTCTTCTTCTTCTTCTTCTTCTTCTTCTTCTTCTTCTTCTTCTTCTTCTTCTTCTTCTTCTTCTTCTTCTTCTTCTTCTTCTTCTTCTTCTTCTTCTTCTTCTTCTTCTTCTTCTTCTTCTTCTTCTATTTTTCTTATTTTGTAATATTTAGCATCAAAAGATTGTTTAAGATTGTCTACAGGGTGTTAAATTAATAACGGAACATAAATCAACTATGAATTCCTCGTATAAAAATATTTACCTTACTTCAAATCTTGATATTAAAGAAGATGCACAGCTTGTTAATGTAGATTCTCAATAAAATGAATTGTCTACTGCTACTTTTTGCGTGAAATATTTAAATCAAAAATATTAAATGATGCAGATGTATTTGAAATGATAACACACTTTTTAATATTAGAAAATCATTAGATAAAACTTTTAGTTTTAGAAATATTGTCATTTTAATATTTTTATATGGACATTTCTGCATTTAATCTCTAAACAATTAGATCTAGGATAGGCATGATCTTATTTTAAAATTCGATTTATCGTAATTGCACCCCTGTTAAAATATGCTGACGAAGAATATTTAAATTTATTTATTATTTATAGAAAATATGATATGGTTATTTCAAGAACATTTTTAATTTTTTTCCTACATCCAGTTTATGAGATATCGATCGATTCAGATTATGGTGGTCCACCCTGTATAGCAACTCCCTGCATAACTGTATCTTAGATTTTATTAATTATCAAGTCAAATAATTATTTAGTTACTAAATTATTTTATCGATAGAACACAATGCGTGAGAATCAACCGCCTACAGCCACAGCTAACCACACACTCGACACTCAAGGTGACTCACCTCGTTCTGCCTGGGGAGGTGTCGGCGGTACTTTGCTACCGCAAACGTTTCCCCGCACCCCCCGCTTTTGGTTGCCGCTGTTATATACATTATATAACAATGAGCAATCACACAAAAATTTGTTTACCTGCTAACACGGCCATATTGATCTATATTTCGCTCTCGAAATATTCTCTTTTTTTATTGCGTTATTAATTTGTATTATTTTAGTTTATAAAAATATTAAACTTAAAGAAAAGACGTCTCAAATAAAAATAACAAAATTACAAGATTAGCCGCCGAATTCTTTCCACGCCAATTATTTTGAAAAAGTTTCCTGCTCATCTTCTCGTCACATTCTGAGACGAGGCAAAACCTTGCATTTTTAAATAAGTGACACAACAACACCCCATGTCTTATAATTTATAACACTTTATGTACGCATCAAGGCAAAAATTGCTAGCTACATATTTATTTTGTTACAGGAATTTTATCCAGCCGGTGCATATATCATTCGACAGGGAGCTAGTGGAGACACTTTCTTCATAATTAGTAGTGGAAATGTCACAGTTACTCAAAGATTACCAGGTAAGTACCTATTTCTTAATCAAGCTTTTATCATTTTCGAATAATTCAATGACAAACATCATCTATAACTTTATTTAATGTTTTAGGACAAATGGAAGAAGAAGAAATTCGTGTTCTTCGAAGAGGAGACTATTTCGGTGAACAAGCTTTGCTTAAAGAAGATTTTCGCACAGCTTCCGTTATCGCCATGCATCCAGGTGTAGAATGCTTAACTTTAGACAGGGACTCGTTTAAGCAACTTATCGGCGATATAAGTGAAATTAGAGAAAAAGACTACGGCGATGAAGAAAGACTGAATAAAACATCAACAATAATGGAGCAGCAAGGTATAAAACAAACAATTCAATATTAAGAACCTATTTAAGCGATTTAAAGTATAAAGTGAATCACAAAATGTTTCTACTAAAGTACAATTCTTCTTCTTTTTAAATGTCAATTTGGATTTAATAACATTTATTGTGGATCATTTTTTATTTATATTTATTTATATTTTGCTGATAACTGCATTTATATTATATTTATTTAATTTTATGTTTCTTTTTTAACCCTTAAGTTGGCAATGTATCCTATAGGATACATTAGAAATATGCCATTATAAATACATTTGTGCAATACCTATGTGTATTCTGGACGGTTTACATACATTTAGAACTACGGAGTGGCCCAAACGTCTGGAAACGGCCAATTATCTCGTAAATTGCTAGTCCTAATTGTACAAAATTTGGAGTACACCTATTTTGGGATACGGAGATTCCAGATTTGATATTTGCAATGTTACCAGATTTGCCGTTTCTCTCACCCTGTATATTCAGTCATTATTGGAATCTCCTATTCAATACGAGATCAACCATATGTAACTTATGATTTTATGTAGTCTGGAAGGTCTTAAATAAATAAAACAATCATGAAGAAATGTGGTAGACGCATTATACCATCGATTAGGGTACTGTCAACTCACAAATGGAACACATTTTGAACACTTGATAAAGTAACCATTATGTTGAAAATGTTGTAATCTTTCAATTGCTACGTTTTAATGTAGTTGAAAATAGTTTGTATTAAAAAATTTATTGAGACAATTAGGCGTTGCCAGACTTCTGTTTTATTTATTTAAGACCTTCCAGACTACATAAAATTATAAATGTTACATACGGTTAAACTCTTATTGAATAGGAAATTCCAATAATGACTGAATATACGGGGTAATAAATTTGAAAAACCAAAGTGACTAATAATATAAGAGAAACGGCAAACCTATCAACATTGCAAATAATAAATCTGGTATCTCCGTATCCCAAAATAGGTGTATCCCAAATTTTGTACAATTAGGACTATCAATTTACGATATAATTAGTAGTTTCCAGACTTCTGGGCCACTCTGTATGTTGTTTCATGCATTTGTCAATAGTCTTGCTGTTAATTAATTTTAAATTGAGTTACAAAGTGATACCTTGCATGGTGATTCAGTTTTAATGAACATATTGAGATATAATAGACTCTTTGTTATTTGATTCAAAGTATTGAGGTATTTATTAGAATTGAAAATATAAGATTTGTTTTCCAAATAATAATAAGTCGTATTTATACTTATAGAAATTATTTTTTAAAATAACCTCAGGACAGAAGGTTCCTGAGCATACCTTATTTTGTTTTATCTCTATAAATGTAAAGTGAATTATTTTTCACAAAGACAATAAATTGTCACATAAAATAAAAATAATAATAATACTATAAAATTTCTACATGGAATTGTCGCGCCCGGGCAGCAACCAGTGTCGGGCACCGAAAGCTTTCCAACATGCTTTGCACAAGTCCGTATTAAAACTTCAGAGAGTTAGCATTAGTGCAGGCAGGAAACGAATAATATTAGCGTTTCCAGTTTAAACGTGGCAGCAAAACAACAACTTCCTCCACAAGATATCAGTTTCGATAATGTGGAGCATTTTCCAAAATATATGGGGAAAAAGGAAGATGCCGTTTATGTCAAAATGACAAAACTACAATTATTTACCAAAAATGCAACGTCAGACTTTGTTTGGCGAATTCAAGGATAAAAAAATAAATATTTAAGTAAAATACAAATTTGTTATATACTTGGCAACGTATCCTATATATACATTATTTTTTTTTTTAATATCATGTAAACATTTTTTTTGAAGTTGATATCTTATTTTATAACAGTTATTTAGTAGTTTTTTAACAAAAAAGATTTTTGTAATGATTTCTTGTTACTGCCAACTTAAGGGTTAAACATCATGATAATCTTGGCCTTTTTAACAAGGTCATTGGTGTATTTACCTCGTCCAGATTTCCTAACTACACTTTGCCTCTATTCATTTTCATCAATGCTTCTTTTATTTTTTTAATTGTACCTATGTTCAAAAATGGGATATACCAAAGTGACACCTGCCTTTATGTGTTTAAAAAGTTTCCTTGCCATTGTATGCATTAGCTCTAAATTTACCTCTTACTATTTATCCTTTACAAAGAACCTGTTTGCTTTAGAGGGAAAGCCCACTCACACGACATGTCGCGCGCGACTAATCGCGCGCGGCAATAATTTTGATGTTTTTAAATGACTGTGCGACCACGCGACAGAACGGGCTTTGAGTCATTTAAAAACATCAAAAGTATTGCCGCGTGCAATCAGTCGCGCGCGATCAGACGCGTGAGTGGGCTCTCCCTCTTATCTTGAATAAATTTTAACCTGGCCAAAAAACGCTAGTATTTTCGCTCTAGACGTTATGTTATGTTATGTTATGTTATGTTGAGAATGGGGTGTTAACATTGCGTCCTAAGAGGGAAAGCCCACTCACGCAACATGTCGTGCGCGACCTGCTGCATGCGATTTTTTATGTGCGATTTTTAACAGACGACAAGCAGCGACAGAGACGTAAAGGTACGGTCTCTTTTGGGTGAGTAGTCGAGACGTTTAGACGCGGCGCTTAATGGCTTACGTCTAGACGCACCTGATCGCACCTTGTGGTCTGTTTACGTCGTCATCTCAAGTAATCGACTAGTCGCCAATCAGTATTTTTTATTTCGTTCGACAAAAATGACTACTAGTGAACTTGTGATTGCAGCACAGTTGCTTATAGAAGAAGCAAAAGACGATGACATTTTGTTCAAAGAAGAAAGGAAGGGTGCTTTAGTACGCTAATAATGAGACATTTAATTGATGACGAAACTAAATTCAAAGAATACTTTAGGCTTACCAAAAGTCAGTTTAATTAACTGTTAAATATTGTATCAATTGATATAGAACAAATTCCTTTGGTGCTCATTTTGCATCAATAGCAGGCGATTAAATAAAGGTGCGCGTTTAAATTGCCTGACGACCAATTTTGCCGTAAGACGCCTACAGGTAGTACCGAAGCAGCTAGGTTCTAATCTTCGCTTGATATGTTACATATTTGTTCCCATAATTTCTTCCTAATATTTTGGTCGCTATTTTCTTTCAATTAACTGTTCAATATTTGAGGTCGGTTTTGAATATCGGATATAAATTCATCTAAATCAATACCACTGTCAGACATTTTTTCACTGGAACTGTAGAAAAGTTAACAGGAAACTCCAACTCTCGAATGACGTATCGCACGCGACATGACGTTTGTATGAGGGATGCTCCATATGAAACCACGGTAACGCTGGCCGCGTGCGGCAGTAAAATCGCGGGCTTGTTATTTCTAATTTACAGCCGCGCGCAACCATGCGACAGAAACGTGTTTATGTGCTTTTTGAGTCAATTAAAAATATTTAAGGTATTGCCGCGCACGATGCCTCGCGAACAGTCGCGCGCGACGTGTCGCGTGAGTGGGCTTTTCCTCTTAAAGATCTATTGTGCTCCCTTCTGCCGCTAAAGCAGCAAAGAAATGCATCAGTGCCTATAACGACCCTTCCAATCCTATCTTCTCAAGAAAGTGTAGGATTAGGAGTTGCTTTAAGTTAGGCAACTCTCCCTGTTTTATTTGATATGCTTCTAGGTATAGTGACTTTGGATTCAAGAGTGCTACATATTCAGTTAGAATGTGAATGGAGGTTTCGTTCTCCTCACAGAATCTGCACTCACTATCTTCTACTACTCTCAGTATACTAAGGTATCCTTTTAGTTGGAAATGCCCAGTAAGGACCTCTGTTACAATACGTAGCCTGTTCTTGCTCAGGCAGATTCCGGCTTCCGATATTTTCTGATTATATTCACCCAGAAGTATCTTAGCCTGTCTTAGCCCCAAGAGATTGTTCCAGTTATCGGTTCTTCTACTTCCCAATTCTTTTTTAGTCTCTCCTTATATTATGTTACTGCTGATACCGCAGAACCGCTCAGGTCCTACAAAGGGTGTTTGAGCCCCTTTCCTTGCGAGCCTATCTGCAATCTCGTTACCCTGTACGCTGTTATGTCCCGGGACCCAAGTGAGAGTAACTATTTGTCTCGCATAGCTCATTCAACTTTTTTAGGCATCTCCAGACCATTTTTGAGCTGATTACGTAAGAGTTCAGCGCTTTGATTGCTGCTTGGCTATCGGACCTAATGATAATCTCTTGTCTACGATAGTTTCTCATAATGTTAAACTGGATACAATTCAAGATGGCGTGAATTTCCGCCTAGAAGATGCTTGGGTATTTTCCCACGCTTTCGGAGTACCTGGTTCTAGATTTATACACTCATATACACTCATATTCCAGTTACAAGCGCGATGGATTCTTGGCTCCACTCTCTCTTGTAGACCAGCTCTGTGGTTTTGAAGTTTTTTACAAAAGTACTACTTTTTTATTTCATCCTAGGGCATATACCAAGTATCTTTGGTTTTGAAGCTAGTAAACTTTCGTCTAATTACTCAGTTTCTGATCATTCTATATCGTATTCTTTTTGCCACATTCTCTATCATTAAATATAGAGGGGTGAGGTTTAAGATCACCTCCATTTTGAGATATTAGCTCTCGTAGTAGCTAAACTAGCTCTGTTACTCCAGGCTATAGCCTCGTATGAATGATCTCACTATTGCAGTATACATCCATCGCAGTGTATTCGGGTTACATCTTCATCGCTTACCCGGAAAGTTTGTGCTCTAGACGTATCCAATGCTATCTGTAAATTTTCTTTGTAACCCCCAAACTTTAAACTTAGGCGATAATCCATCCTGTGATGAATTAGATTTTGGGCATAATCAAAACATCTGGGGGTACTTAAAAATGGACCGTTTTTCTACTTTAAGATATATTTCTCTTATTTATGTTTGCAAAAGAAAGTTTTTTGTATAATAGTTGTTTGTGATACGATTCTCTACAATTTGTGTTATATGCATTTCTTTTAAATTGATTGTAATGTAGAAATTTGAGGAAAAAGACAAAATTCGTATTTTCTTAATAGTTCCGTTGGCAATGAAGATACGAAAAAATGGTTTGAACAAAATTATTTCTTTTTAATTATTCTACACACATTTTCTCAATATATTTGATAACTTCACTTTATCAGATAATTTTTTTCATTTCAGAATACGATTTCATTACACTAGACGATTTAGAAGTAATAGCTACTTTGGGAATAGGAGGATTTGGAAGAGTAGAACTGGTACAATACGTCTCTAACCCATCATATACATTTGCTTTAAAATGTTTAAAAAAGCAGCATATCGTAGACACGCAACAACAAGATCATGTACAAAGTGAAAGAAGCATTATGATGAGCTGTCGCAGTCCATTTATTTGTCGGTAAGTAGAGTAGTTTATCTACCACTTTAATTCGGGTCGGTGGTGTAGCAGTCTAACGCGCTTATATTCATTTATAGGCAAGTTTATGGTCCGAGACTACCGGGCTTCGAATCCCAGACCAGACCATGTGGATTTTTAATTAAATTGCATGGTTCGGTATAGGATTTGATGTGTACCATATTAATAGAAATTCATTTTCTGTTGATATGCCATACAGATTATAAAATCGCCATGCATTACCGTCTCGATGATGGTGGGTGAGGTCTTTCGGGTTTTCCTCACCTGTAAGACAAATGGCACCATCAATCATCTTTAAGTCGCCCCGAAGCGCCACGGCAAATAATAATAATAGCCGTCCCTTTCCCCGCACAAGCTCAGCTTTTGGGGTTAAAATTCACTCGTAAGAGGGTGAATTAGGGAGAGTATTATTATTATATTAAATACCTAAAGTTTTTAAATCAACAAAAATCAGATATATTTGGTCAAAATATTTAAAGTCCTTTTTTAAATAAAAGTTGCTTGTAATAATATTCTTTAAAATTTTTTATTTTATACATAATTTTCCTTAAATGGACCGTATTTGATATATTTAAGAAAATGTGCAAATTTCGAATTTTAAAAGTTACTCAAAAACGGATAAAGAGAAAAACGCTAAATTTTAAATTAAGGCTTTATTTAATCCTGCGATTTACTTATTAAATTTTAGGCATAGTCGGAACATAATTTTTTTAAATTATTTAAAAGTACAAAATTAAAGAAAATGTTTGAGACCATGATTAGGACATAGAACCTTAATCGTTTAAATGTGTGTGTATAGAAAAGGAGTTATGTATGCCCCAATCATAGTCTAAATTGAGTTATGTTTACAGTTAAAAGACAAATTAAAATGAAAGGGGGGAAACATGTAATGAATCAAATTCTATATTTTCTTTTAAAATTTAATTTATTGAGACAATGAATGAAACATCCTACTAGGTTTTTTTGTTACAAATCATCTTATACCTCTGTTTCCATAATAAATACAAACGCTATCGCATATTTATTTAAAATACATTACACAGTTTTTTATTTATAGATTATATAGAAGTTTTCGAGATTCAAAATACGTCTACATGCTTTTGGAAGCCTGTTTGGGAGGAGAAGTTTGGACAATACTTAGAGACAGAGGATGTTTCGACGATCATACCACCAGATTTATCACAGCTTGTGTCATCGAAGCGTTCGAATATTTACATGCTCGAGGAATTATCTACAGAGATTTAAAACCGGAAAATCTTTTATTGGACTCAAGAGGTTACGTGAAAATAGTAGACTTTGGATTTTCGAAACGATTGGGATACAGCAGTAAGACTTGGACGTTCTGCGGAACTCCCGAATACGTTGCTCCCGAGGTGATACTTAATAAAGGGCATGATAAAGCTGTTGATTTTTGGGCATTGGGAATTTTGATGCATGAACTTTTAACTGGAAAGTGAGTATTTCTCTTAAAAAAATAATATTTGCTTTTTAAAATATATTGTGTCCCAAAATCTAGTAACTATATTGGTATATGGTTTACTTTAAGAGAGAGTTCGCAGTTAGTAGTTGGATGGTTAACTATCTCAATGACAAACGGCGTACGTCTGAACAAACTGCTCGTTTAGTTGCATGCCATGGTACCCAAACCTGGAAGGATGGATTACACTGTCCTAAAAACATACCTACCAATTAGTCTGACATCGTTTTCCATGAAGACATGAAAGACTATGCGAAAGGTACATAAGGAATGCGGTGATTACAACAACACCACTACACCCAAACCAACATGCATATACCCCAGACAGATCTATTGATTGTTTTTCATCTAGTTGCTGACCGGATAGAAGGATCCCTGAACAACAAGGAGTCCGCCTTGGGTGTTTTCATAGACATAGAAGGTGATTTTGATAAAATTACCTTTCCAAAGATAATACACTTACTAACCAATAGGAATGTTCCACAAATGGTTAGTGGGTGGATACATAGTGTAGAATATGTGAATATAAGAGGCTTGGTTGCAAAGGGGTGTCCACAGGAAGGGATACTATCACTTCTACTGTAGAATATGGTCTTCGACACCCTCATCAGCCGCCTCAATAATGACAGTCACTACACAATAGCCTATGCAGATGACCTGGTCATTCTGCAAACAGGGAATTTCGAGAACATACTCTGCAAAAGAATGCAAGTAGCTCTAAAAATTATAGAACAGTGGTGCAAGGACCATTCATTGTCTATCAATCCTAAGAAGACAGAAATGGTCCTTTTCACAAGGAAAAGGATGAAAATGGAATTAAATCCTCCAGAACTCCTAAACACAAAACTAAACTTTGCAACAGAGGTGAAGTACCTAGGTCTCACCTTTGACAGCAAGTTAACGTGGGACTCGCATTTAGAAAACAGAGTTAAAAGAGCATACATTGCCTATGAACAATGTCGCCAAATCGTGGAGCGCACCTGGGGTTTCTCCTCCAGAATCGTCGCATGGACTTACACGGCTATCATAAGACTTATGCTAACATACGGTGAAGTTATCTGGGTACCGAAAACCCAAACATTAACAACTATTCGTAAACTAGAACATATTCAAAGAACATCATGTCTCAACATAACACTCCCCTTAATATTTACATCAAGGAGGTTGCTCTGATGACAAAATGACACGCCTCCGCACGTTTGAAATAGAATCTGATGTAGGATCTGGTGAGGCGAGATATCGCTTTTGACAGGAGACGCTCGATACACTTCCACTGCTTCAAGCGAACATGGACTCCATCTCACCGAGATATATCTTCTATAAGCCATATAAAGTTATAATAGAACAAATAAAAGAGCCAAAAGTGGCAGGTACACCGACGGTTCTAAAACAAAACCAGGCTCAGGATGTGGAATATATTCCATATTCTTAAACCTAAACATAAAATGGGCTGTGAGCAATAGTGCCAGTGTAGTTCAAACAGAGCTAACGGGGATTTTCAGAGCAGCAAAAAAAATAACCAGAAACAATATCACTGGAAGGAACATACTCATCTATACAGATATGAGACAAGCACTACTTACCCTGAACAGACCACAAATTTACTCAGGGTTAGTACTAGAATGTCCCGAAACTTTGGCCGAAGTATCCATCAACAATGTGGTCACCTTAAGATGGATCAAAGGTCACGCCAAATCGAAAGGTAACCGTCGTGCTGATTCACTAGCCAAGAAAGTAGCCAACCAAATACTTTTTGGACCTGGCCCTTTTATTGGCTTGACAAAATCGTTAGTGACAGACCTAATTAAAGAACATTCCATTGTGAAATTGAAGGAATAGTGGGATAAAACAAGAAACTGCAGAGTTTCCAGGGGCTCTTAAGTTATCCTGACAACACTGCAGCAAACAAATACTTGACTATGAGTATACAGAATCTGCGCCTAGTCACAGACATTCTGACTGGTCATTGCCAAGTACGGAAGCATCTCCATATCATGGGACTGTCAAAATCCGCACTCTGCAGAGGGTGCGAACAAGAAGATGAGATCATCGAGCATATCCTTTACGATTGCTCGACGCTCTCATTTGTTAGAAGATTTGTTTTTGGCGAGTATCGGCTAACACCGGCCGATATAACAGAAGCACCTCTTGGTGACGTTATCAGCTACATTAAATCCGTAGGCTGGCTCACGAGCTAGGAGGTGCTATCATCATCTTAGGAGGATGCACAATGGGCCCAATGAGGCCTAAAAGCCGTGGGGGTAATTCACCCTCTACACGTTACAGATACAGATAGTTGCATGCCACAGGCTTTATATCAGTGAGTACGAGGTATAGCGAGGGGTGTGCCATCTTTTCAGAGAAGATGTAAAACCGGATCTTGAGCTCGTTAAAGATTCCTACCTCTGGTTGGAACAACAGGGGATTTGGCTAAATTTCTGTTAATTGGTGGTAGCGTGCTCACCAGCGTCAGTGTTTAAACCTTATAGTTAGAAATAGGCCGACGTTAAATATATTAATAATATAAAATAGTGTAATGACTTGCATATCTTCTTCATACTTGCACTTGCGTCAAACACCTGTCACCTGTTGATATCATTATGTTACGTGGTAATCCTAAAGACAAAAGATTAAGCTCATCAATTTAACAACTTTGTTTGATAATTATCAGATACTTATATTTTATTTTTGACATTATAACATTTACCTGCCTATCCCTTTCTTCTTTAGTTTTATATTTACTCATTGTACAAGCTTTTATTTAATAATGGGTTATCGTGAATTAAGATCCCACAGGTAGTAGGTCGGTTAAATGGGGAATGTTTTAGTAAATTTGATGCTGATCTTGGATTCGTTTTTAAAATAATTAGATGTTGTTTTCAAATTATTTCTCATTTAAAAAAGAGTGAAAAATAACCAAATTTGTTTTTTTAATGGTGTCTTAACCATTAATTCGCAATTTTCTAAAATGTTACATTCTTTAGATATCTACTTTTTAATTAAGAATGTTTTTGTAGAAAAAAATACTAAATTGTGTTTCTTTTATTTTCGAGTAGCCTACCGTAACTTTATTATTTCTTATATAGATAAAATGTGAGGAGTGGATTACCTCACAGCACAGGCTTCATTAGGGCAATTGTGTATCCTCCATATTTTGATTTAGTTGATGTAGTTGATAACGTCGCTGAGAGGTGCTTTCTTACATCTGCCGATGTTAGCCAAAACTCGCCGAACTCAAATCTTCTTATAACTGAGAGCGTCAGGCAATCGTAGAGGTTATGCTCGATGGTCTTATCTTCTTATTAGTACCCTTTGCAGAGTGCAAATTCTAAGAGACCCATGCTACAAATATGGTTCAGTACTTGACAATGACCAGTCAGATGCAGATTATGTCTAGTCATAGTCAAGTATTTGTTTGCTGCGGAGTTGGCAGGGTAACTTAAAAGCTTCCTGGCAACTCTGCAGCTTTTTGTTTAATCACAGCTGTCCTTGACTTTCACAAAGTAATGTTCTTAGGTTTTTTACTACCGATATTGTCAATCAAATGGAAGGGCCAAGTCCAAAAAGTATTTGGTTGGCTGCCTTTTTGGCTAGTGAATCGGCAAGACGGTTACCTTTCGACGTCTGGTAACCTTAACCCATCTTAAGGTGACCACATTGTTGATGGATACCTCGACTAAAGTTTCGTGACATTCTAGTCCTATCCCTGAGTAAACTCGTGAAATGTCCAGTGTGAGTAGTGCTTAACTGCTATCTGTATAGATGAGCATGTTTCTTTCAGTGCTATCATTCTGGAATATTACTCAGAGCCCATTTTCTATTTGGGTTTAAGAATCAGGAGTATATTCCACATCCTGAAACTTGTTTTATTTTAGAAACGTCGGTATAGATATGAATCGTACCTGTTATTTCCGATTCTTCTATTTAATTCGTTGTTATAACTTTTTATGGCTCATGGAAGATATATTTCGGCCTGAAGCAGTGAAAGAATATCGACCCCCCCCCCAAGCGTTGTGCCTCACCAGATCCTACATCAAGGTCTATTCCAACCGTACGGAATCGTGGTAATGGATCTGGCTGGTGTGGTTTTCATGGTTCATCTTATGTTAAGACATGATATTCTTTGAATGTGATTTAGTTTTCGAGTAGCTGTCAATTGTTGGGTTTTCATTACCCAAACACCTGCACCGTATGTAAGAATAGTTCTTATTATAGCCGTGGAAGTTCATGTGACGGCTCTGTGACAGAAAACCTTGGAGCGCCCCACAGTTCGGTGGCAATGTAAGTAAGCCATGTATGCTTTTTGACTCTGTTTTCTAGGAATCAGTTACATTCTAACTTGTTCTCAAAGGTGAGACCTAGGTATTTCACCTCTGTTCCAGTTTAGTTTTGTGTTTAGGGGCTCTGGAGGTTTTATTTCCATATTCATTTTTTTTCTTGTGAAAACTACCATTCTTTCTGGTATTGATATACAATAAATAATTTATGCATCTCTGTTCTATAATTTTGAGAATAGCTTGGAATTTTCGCAGAATATGCTCTCAAAATTCATTGTTAGCGTTACGCTGTAAAGTCTGAGGCGGCTGACAAGACTGTCGAGGACCATGTTTCATGTTCTACAGTAGAGGTTATACTACCCCTCCCTGTGGACATACCCTCATAAGCAAGCTTCTTATATTTATATATACACTTATAATTACTGCTCGCTTTGTGAGCATGTAATGTATCCACCCACTGGTCATATGTAAAACATTCCTGTTAGTTAGTGGGTGTATTATTTTTATAAAAACATACAAGGCGGACTCTTTATTGTCTTGAGATTGGGCCAGCAACTAGATGAAGGGTTGAATGAGTAGATCTTCCTAAGGTGTATGCATGTTGATTTGGCTATAGTGGTGTTGTAATAATCACATCCCTTAGGTACTCGAGACGTCCGTTATCAGAGATTTAGACATCTAACGGATGTCCATTCTATATTCTTTAAGGTCCGCCTAAATGTTACAAAACCCTGCATCCCTGGGATATTCAAAAAGCGTCCATAATAAACATAATCAGAACTTAAAAATAACATGTATTTTACTTAATAAAGACAATAATAGAACTTGAGAAGGGCATGTATATTATTGATATGATATGAAAGTAAAAAATGATATGTAAAAAGAACATTAAATAATAGGCAAAGAGCTCGCTAATTAACTTCTTATATGATAAATAAGAAAGAAAAATTAATATTTTTGGTTAGCTTTCATGTTACCTAGGAACTTGAATGGCAAAAAAGGTAAAACAAGTACGGAATCAATTTTTTACTAAATCACGAAAACTATAAAAATTTTAAAGGCGTTTTTCGTGGTTAATAATATCTATTTTTTATATTATTGAATATTCAACTCATGACATTCTTGGCTAAACGTCCTAGGACGTTGAGATCTAAAACGGGTTTTTTACGGACGTCCCATGGATGTTTTGTGCTATTTAGGGTCTGTTGCAGATTTCCTAATGTTTTTTGAGGCGTCTACATTATTACGGACAACTGCCAATATTACAGTGTCTTTCGCAAATGTTGCTAGTTTAACACATTCCTGATGAGGGACATAGCCGGTTTAAAGAGCCGGTCCGAGCACGCTGCCCTGTGGGATACATACTTCTTTAATTTCTGAATATGCCTTATCTTGCTTTACTCTAAATATTCTTCCCATTAAATATGATTGAAGAATATCGACATAGGGAGCATTTTCTGTTCTTTGCAATAAATGTTCATTTATTTATTTTAGTTTTGGTAAACTGACATTCTATACATGTTTTTATTTGTTAATGTTTCTTTCTTTAAGAATTTAAATTATTATTTACAATTTAATTTACATTTTTTTTAGTCCACCATTCAGAGCTTCAGACCCAATGAATACTTACAATATAATATTAAAAGGAATCGATATGATTGATTTTGCTAAGCACAATGTCGGCAGAACGGCGCAAGGATTGATCAAAAAATTATGTAAGGATATACCGTCGGAGAGGTTAGGATGCCAGAGAGGAGGTATCCAGGACATTAAAAAACATAAGTAAGCTAATAATTTATTATTCACATTATTTGTGTTAACGCAGATGGGTAGTTGGGTAAAAACTAATCTACAAAAACAAATTAGATTTAAAATACACTTTAAAAGAAAATTTCAATCAAATGGAGATAAAAACATATTCAAAATAATTGTAGAATAATGAGCCTGTGTGCTCCAAAAGAAGTAGTTACCGAGGTGGTTACTGGAGATTTGACGTTTTTTTTATTATAGGGGTAGTGATAATATATTTTCAGATACTAAATTAATGTCAAATTATTATAATGATTATTTTAGTAACAGCAAAAATAAAAATTCCTAAAAACTTTTCATTGGTTAATATTTCTACAAATTCAATGTTCTTAAAACCGGCCACTGAAAATAAAGTACTACTTCATATTAACTCGCTAAAAAATACGAGTGAACCTGGATACGATAAAATTAGTCCTTCACTTTTAAAATGAAATGCAAAAAATATATCTCCCTTTACTCGTATAATAATTTTACTTCTTAGACAAGTTTAAAATCTCCATTTTAACAACTATTTATAAAGCATGTGCCAGGTGCCAGGCTACGAGGGATATCAGGGCAACCAAAAGACGGACGAATTAGTCCTAGAAGGCTCAGATAAGGCCATAACAGGCCCCGAACCCTTCTATGGAGTTGCTAAAGCATTGTGAAAGTCATCCATCAAACAATGGATGCAAAAAGAGTCTCAGAAACGGTGAAACACAACTATCCAAAATTGAAACAGGCAAAACAGTTCATCAAGGAACCATCGGCCAATTTCACGAAAGACCTACTAGATCATAAACATCAAATCGTTAGGATAACAGTAGGTCTTCCTACAGGACACTGTGGCCTAAGAAGGTACATGAGTGTCATCAATCCAGCATAAGACGCAAAATTGTGCAGGTTCTGTGAAAAAGGAGAGGAAACATCAATACACGTCCTGTGCCAGTGTGAGGGCCTGGGTAGATTGTGGTTTCTAACAATAGGCGAAGAAAAGCCGGACGCATGGAACTACATGCGGGAGCCACTGTCAAAGCCACTAAGTCTAATAAAAAATACCAAGCTAGATGACATACTCTAAATAACGGAATCCCACAATAGATCTGAAAAGATTGCGGTGGACAAGGACAAATAATGTTTAACTCCTCTCAAATCTAATCTAAAAGCAGGTAATAATAGTGAAATATCAAATTATATACTAGTCTGTTCAATAAATAATTTTGAAAAAATTGAAGAAAAATGTCTAAAAAACGTCTCATTGATTTCATCAAGGTTAATGATAATATTCTAAGCAAACATCAATGCGGCTTTCTGGAAGGTAACAGTGCGTCAGATGATATGTACAAATCTTGACCAGAATAAAAACGTATTTCAATATTTTTGGACTTGGTGAAAGCATTCTACACAATACACCATGGAAAATTACTACAAATACTTGAACGTTATCGAATTCGTGGCACTCTGTTAATTCTTTATGAAAGATAATGGGTCCTATGATTGAACGTTTACGTTATCCGTAACGTACATGTTAGGCTGAATTTTAACAGTAATGAGGCAAGTTCGTGAGATGGAAAACTTTTTCCAACACATTTCTGTTATTTTCCGCCTGTTATGTTCTAATTTAACAGTCTTCCATCATACAAATTTGCCTCGTTACTGTTAAAACTCGGCCTAACATGTACGTTACGGATAACGTAAACGTTCAATCATAGCACCCAATATGAGTAATCGGCAATTATTAGTTAAGGTTAATTCCTGCTTAAGTACACTTGAAATAGTCAGGGCAGGTGTGCCCCAAGGCACAGTTTTCGGACCTATTTTGTTCATAATCTATATAAACCCCTTACTGAATATGGATGCTGATTGTAACAATATCCTGATGACACAGTTGCCATTTTCAATGGGGATGAGTAGGACATTGTTAAAGAAAAAATAAAAGTTAAGATAGGGAAAATAAAAAATTGGTTATCCTTAAATTTTGAAAAAATGAAATATGTAGCATTTTCTATCACTGCGGCAAATGAACCTAATTTTGAAAAGAGAATGATTGACAACTTGGGGATTATTATTCATAAAAATTTTAGACGGGATGAGCATATAACATATCTGATAAATAGAGTTCAGAAACTAATTAATAAATTTTATCGTTTAAGAGAAATCATACGAAAAATTGTTAATCATGATACATAAATCATTAGTTGTATCTCTTTTAAGATATGGTTTACTGGTATGGGGTGGACTTTATAATAATACCTTAAAAACACTATCTACTTAGGCTGGCGAATGGACTTAGTATCCGTAGCCAAGGGAAACCTAAATCTAATCACACACACTATCTACAATAATTCAAAAATTTTGTATTAAAAGTTAAAATATATTTAAGAAAAACAGAAGGTAATCCAACTAAATTAATTTATAAAAACGATGTATGTAATATACGAACTTTATATTCCCACAATCTGGCAACTTATGCATACAAGAATAAGCATCTTACAATTATTAATCTAGGTATCGAACGAAACTATAACACTTATATATTTTCCAAATTACTGAGAGTGCCTACAACTTAAAAATGTTAATTCACGTTTTGCATGTAATATTTTCTCATAAACATGTAATTTGTTACCATTACATATTAGAAGATGTTGGAAAAAAGAGCTGCTTTACCCTGGAGTGGTAAAGGTTATGAATATATTAATATTGATTATGAAGGCATTGATGTCTCATTTGTCATTTTCACTTTTATTTCAATTTTGTTTATTCATCTATATTCAATTTTTATTATATTCTAATCAATTATTTTTTTCTTTCTTATATTATTTATATAAAAAAAGATGACAAGTGTTTACTCACTTATATGCATACCAAATTGGTAAATTATATTAAAATCTTTGTAATTTTTCAGATGGTTCCAAGGTTTTGACTGGGATGGTCTCATAAAACAAACTCTCCCAGCACCTATTCAACAAACCGTCAGAAGTCCCAGCGACACCTCTAATTTTGATGAATTTCCAAACGATGGTGACATTCCTCCTGACGAACATTCCAATTGGGATATTAACTTTTAACGTAAAGAATGATAATAGTATTTAGTGCATGTTTATATCTAGGTGTATTGAACGAATTACAAATTTCGTCTCAGTCCTGAAATTAAGGGCTTTAAATTATCAGATCCATTTGACAGCATTTATATCTTTTAACATTGTCGTTTAGCATCAAAAAGTAGAGCAACAAGACCATAAATCACATTTTCTTTTTAATTACTTACTATGTATTTCTAAACACACTCTAATATTACAATAATATCTACACTACTTTTAATTCATCATGTCAGTGCTGAAGTGAATCAAAAATGTGTCTGCTTAGCATACTAAGATTGCAAGTTTAAACTCTGTTCCAAACTGGCACTGGTAAATACCAGCAAGGCGTTTTGTTTCTGAGTAAACTACTAGGATTGTTCGATTACTACGTGACCTAACAAAGAAAAAGAAAGTATTTTTCGTCCAAAAATATTTCATTTTTCAATATACGAGATCCTTAAATTAAATTAAAAGACTATGTGAAACATCAACTAAATTTTCACAAGAATGTACATCAACTGTGTTCTTTTTTAAAGAACTTCACTTGCCTATAGCCCCCTCATTAAAAACGCTTTTTTTTTTAAATACTACGGTGTTACCGTTTTGTCCTTCATCTCTTCTAATGTCTCAAAACTAATTCCTTTCAACTATTTTTTATTTTGTGGGAATAGCCAGTCCTAGGGTGTTAAGTTCTGTCAACACGGTATGTGGCTAAGTGTAGTGCCTACCATAGATAAATTAAAAAAGAAGATAGTCGGATCCCGTGTTAATTTTTGGAAACATAAAGTGCTGCGAATTAGTATGGAACGGATTATTTTTAACTACACTAGCTGATCGACTTGCCAGTTAGAGACTGAATAAAAAAAAGAAGAATAAAAAAAGAAGAGCTTTAAGCCAATTCAAATATAATTTATTATTTATTTAATTTTTTTGGCATTCATTACTCTAAAAAAAATAATATTTACATTAAATAATGTATTTAACATAAATATTAGTTTTTTTTACGTAATAAAACTCCAAAAAATATAAACAAAAAATATTTACATTAAAATAAAATATTTGAAACCTATATTTTAATTATGTATCATACAGTAATACGTACATAGTAATGAGCTCAATATTAAACAACAATTGTAAGTAAAATGAATAGTAGGTAATCTCCCCATTCTTGGAAAAATGGACCATATTTTGTTGGGTGTCCGGTGTTTCCTATAAAAACAAAACAAAAGTGTACATATGTCTTATTGAACAATTTCTCTTATAAAATATTAATAAAGTACAATTTTTTCTCTTTAGGATCGTTCAAATTGTTCATCACTAATTATTAAATTTACGTTTGCAACTGATTTCTTGAGTTTCTTATGCTGCTATATTTGTGCTTCAGCCTCAACATATTCAGAAATCTAATTCTCAGGTTGTATATTTGAACTGGATGCACAATTATTTAATGAAATTGGTACAGGATGTCCAACTAGCAGTTTACGTTTTGAGGAAACCTTACTAAAAGACTCAAGCAAAAATGGTTTGCACAAAGATAGCCAGTATTATTATCTAAAGTTAAATTTAAAGGCTTAAACTAGTTCTGGCAAATTTTAATATCGGAAGGAAAATTAATACCCAACTTTCTGAATTTTAAAATAATACTTATTTAAACAATTAGGATCTGAACAAGAATACTCTCGAGAATACTTGGAGAGAAGGCTAAGAAAACAATTATAAACAAATTCCTTAAATAAATCTACACACCTCTAATATTAAATTAAATTGCTAATACTTACTAATTACATTAAATTACATCATAAATCATAAAGTAAGTTTTATTTTATCATTTCATTATCATATTTGGCATTTGCATTTGCATCACGGTTTTTCATTTTTTAGGAAGTTGTCAGCTCTTTGTTTTAAAAATCCCAGCAGTAGTATGTACATTGTATGGATGGTATGGTGTGCATGTAGATTGATAAAAAATTAAAATAAGATAAATTTGAAATAACTCTCATCTCATGAAAGTTTACGGAAACCGGCAACATCGCTTTCATACTATTGCTATGGTGGCGCTTACTAATAGCACAGCTTATACAATATAAGCTGTGCTAATAGTATGCTGGGAACTACAACGTGTTGACAGTGGCGTGCAATTAAAAAAGTCATCTTGATTTATTAATAATTTATGGTGCCTACTGTCGCACTACCTTTCACCTTACTCATACCAACCTTCTGCAAATCTATAACCATTAATTTTTGTTGTAGTCTTGGCAGGATAAATAAGCTCACTTCACCGTAGCTCCCTGGTTACCGGGAGATGAGATATTAAAAGATAAATAAAATTGTTATTATGACTTTAAAATTTATAATTATTTTAATATTTTTATTTTAGAATTATAAACGATAATTAATTATTTTATTGATGGGATAAACACATTTAAAGATCCCACACTAAGCAAAGGGATTTTGTCATCAGCCAAAAATGTCTTAACTGAAAGAGCATTGTGGGTCCTTAACATCATAAATCACGTTGAGCAATGACGCCCTTTGCATTAATCACCTTCAACTGCTTCATGACCTTCCAAAAATGTCTTATTCAAAATAATAACCATTTCTCGTGACATACAACTATCTTCGTTAACATCTTTTAATAGTTGAAGACATTATGTGAAGGTTTTTTAAATTTTATAAGAAACTTCACTTCCAACGACTGCTAAAAATAGACTATTCAAGCTAAGACAACGGGACTAATCTCGTTAGCTATAGGACACTTCATGCTTAACAATTATCCCAGGGAGATCGCCATGGAAAATAAACCTGTTACATCGGCGCCCAGTCTTATAATTTAATTCTCGGGCCTTGTAGTCTCCAGTTGCTCAATACACTGATTCCAACGATATTCCTAATTGGCAATGCTTTCATTGTAGGTTGATAAACCCAAGTCCTCGACTATATTTACAGTAGCGATTATTTTGGAGTTGGAGAAAAATCTCTTAAAAATCTCTTCAGCAGAGCTATTTTTCAGGTTTGGAAACAGACGATAATGTTGCAACAAATTCGGATGATACTGGCTATTTATTGTTTTCTCCTTTTCTAAGTAGTCGACCAGGAGAATTCCAAAACATAGTAGTTGCCATAACCTTTTCTACTGACAAGACCGTTTTTGCCTTCTTTGGTAGCGGAAAACCTTTGTGTGTCCATTGTTTGAACTGTTCTTTGCTGTCGTGAGTATAATGGTGGATACAGGTCCAACTGAGTCAAAGATATTTTGTCCATCGAAAGCTCCTTGATTCCGCAACAGGTGTAAATTTTTCTTCTTGTATATCGACTTTCATAAATTACTTAACATTCCAAATAATCTAAAACTCGTAGTTTTGATTGATCCGCGAATTCCAAAGGTATATTGTTGCATTTTAGATCGCACTTGGAGTATTTCAGACACTGCATAAAGTCTTTAGCTGCTGCACATATTTTGGCCCGTGTATCCAGGGTACATACAAAGAATATATCTGGATTTAAGGTTGATTGAACTTGTACTCGAATTTGTCGATTTTAATATTTGTTGAGTCATACTCAATAAAAGTAATTTTTAGGCACCTTATGTTTGCATAATTGTCTACTTCAGATGCCGTTTTTGTGGTATGGACTTTTGATAGGCAAAATTTTGTTTAATGATCTTTGACAACCTCATCTGCCGCCTCAATAATGACAGTCATTCTGGTAATAGGGAATTTTGAAAACATACTCTGCGAACGCAAGTATCTCTAAAAATTATAGAACAGTGGTGCAAGGACCATTCACTATCTATCAATCCTAAGAAGACAGAAATTGTCTTTTTCACAAGGAAAAGGACGAAAATAGAATTAAAACCTGCAGAACTCCTTAACACAAAAACCTCTGCAACAGAGATGAAGTACCTAAGTCTCCCCTTTGACAGCTAGTTAACATGGAACTCGCATTTAGAAGACAGAGTCTAAAGAGCATACAGTGTTTATGAACAGTGCCGCCAAACTGTGGGGCGCATCTGGGGTTTCTTCCTCAGGGTCGTCACATGGACTTACACGGCTTTCATAAGACCTATGCTAACAAACGATGCAGTTATCTGGGTACCAAAAACTCAAAAATTAACAGCTATCCTTAAACTAGAACAAATTCAAAGAACAGCATGTCTCAATATAGGAGGAGCCATTAAAACCACACCGACTGGAGCCATGGAAGTCATTCTTAGTCTCACCCGCCTTGATGTTTACATCAAGGAGATTGTTCTGATGAACATGACATGCTTTCGCAAAATTGGAATAGTATCTCATGTAGGATGTAGTGAAGCGAGATGTCGCTTTTAGCAGAAGGAGCTGGATACGCTCCCACTGCTTTAAGCGGGTCCATCTATAACAGCACAAATAGAAGAGTCGGGAGTGGCTGATACGATTCATATCTACACCGATGGTTCTAAAACAAAACGGCTCAGGATGTGGAATATATTCTAGATCCTTAAACCTAAATATAAAATGGGCTCTGAGCAATAGTGTCAGTGTAGTTCAAACAGAGCTTACGGGAATTCTCATAGCATCAAAATAAATCACCAGAAACAATATCACTGAAAGGAACATGCTCATCTATACAGATACCAGACAAGCACTACTCACCCTGAACAGACCACGAATCTACTCAGGGTTAGTACGAGAATGTTACGAAGCTCTGGCTAAAGTATCCATCAACAATGAGGTCACCTTAGGGTTAATCAAAGGTGACGCCACATTGAAAGATAACCGTCTTTCTGATTCACTAGCCAAGAAAGCATCCAACCAAATACTTCTTGGACCTGGCCCTTCTATCGGCCTAACAAAATCGGTAGTGACAGACCTAATTAAAGAACATTCCCTTGTGAAATTTAAGGGAAAATGGGATGAAACAAGAAACTGCAGAGTTGCCAAGGAGCTCTTAAGTTATTCTGACAACACTGCAGCAAACAAATTCTTGACTATGACTAGACAAAATCTGCGCCTAGTCACAGGCAATCTGACTGGTTATTGCCAAGTACGGAAGCATCTCCATATCATGGGGCTGTCAGAATCCGCACTCTGCAGAGACAAGAAGATGAGACCATCGAGCACATCCTATACGATTGCTCGACGCTCTCATTTATTAGAAGATTTGTGTTCGGTGAGTATTGGCTGATATAAGAGAAGCACCTCTTGGCTAGGACGCGCCTATCATCTTAGGAGGATGCACAATGGGCCTAGTTATTACTAAGTGCCGTGGAGGTGACCCTACACACGTTACAGATACAGATGGCCCTTTCACTTACATTTATCTGCTGGACATTTAAAATTATTATCTTGCTTTTCCACATCTTAAACACTTTTTTTATAAAAGTTTCCACTTGGTATATTACTTATTTTAATTTTAGCGATATTTTTATTGCAAAGGTTTTTTCGTTTCATGCTGTTTTCTCAAATTCACTAAGTTTTACAATGTCTTCCATGCTTGCGGATAGTTGAAAATGTTTACTTTTTTCTATAGAATGAAGAAAAGAATTCTCCTTCTTCCTGCTTTCTGGACATAAATTTACTTCTTCTAGTTCGGCTGTTCTGTTTCTTTTTAAAGTAATGCTCTAATTTATCTAACAAGTCTATATAAGTTCAGAGAAATATTGGTTACAAAATTATTCCAAGAGGACTTGGATCTGTTTATCACACTCATTTTCTACGTTTTGAAAGGTTATTTAGTTTTCAAATTTCCATCTCCAGTCTTTGAACTTTTGATAAGTTAAACTTTATACAGGTATTCAGGGCCAGGAGCTGCATTTGATAAACGTACATAGCTGTAGAATTATTCCAATTTCTTTTTCTATTTTCACTTCTGATGGTATCATGCAGCACTACTGACTGTAATGATATTCTTTTATTCTTCTGTTGCGTATCCGCGTTCTTAGAAAAGAGAACATGTATTATATCTTGCAGAGACTTTATGCTTTCTTGAGTAGACATGACCAAATTTTCAATGCCGGATTTACTGGATCTGCCTTTTCTCTTTTTATGACAGCGCCACGATATGATTCAATAAAAATAATATCTTTATTGAAATCAAATTTAACAATACCTACCAACAAATGACCAACAAGTAACACAAGTAGTCCCTAGGACTATAAGTAAGTAAGTAAGTAAGTAAGTTAGTACATGAATTATGCTATTTCCACATTCACTATATCTACTATCTCACATACGTTTACTCGACAGTTGTCCGATACGATACAGTGGATTTTTGCAATCATATCCAGGCAGTAGCAGTTTTAGGACATCTACTACGGAGTTCATCATTTGTGCTCATATGACTACTTTTAAATTCGGCAAGCCAGTTTTTTGCTAGTAAAAACGAAAGTGGGAATCCAATAGTCTCTATTCCAGCGATGCTTTGATTTTGGTTGGCGTTAACCTTTCAAATGAGAGTACTTTATCACTGTTCTTAATTTAGTATTTCAAATTGTTTATAAAATCACACGAGACGTACTTTGACGTACTGTCAAAAATAGACTAATTGACAAATCTTTCTTTAATGTCATATTTAACCTATTAAAAGATGATTATACAGAATGACAATAAAGCTTTCTACGAATTCGCACCATCTCTGCGACTGTTAGGCCACATATTTACCGAACAATCCTCGCAGTTATTTTCGTTAAGATGGACGAACCACTCGTTACACTACTTTTTACCAACACTGTAAATAAAATTATAAAGTACTTATAAAGCCAACAAATTTAGCGGATTTTTAACATAATCATCTTTTGCTGTCAGAAAAATGACGAGAATTTGTTATTAAATTACATCAGCCACTTAAGTTGATTGGTGTAAACAGTTCGTGAGCTCAAATTACAATAAAATCTTCCTGAAAGTTATTTTTATCCATTTGTTGCATTTATAGGCACATACTAAAAGTTTTGAACTTCTTTTGTCGTTGATAAATAATTTCTCAAGAATTTTTAAGATTTGGAAGAATTTTTACAGTACTGAGTAAAGTTGTTTTCAGAATGAATCAAAAGTAGCGTAGATTTTAGTAATTTCAAGTATTTTCCTGTAGAAATGGTGTTTAATTTGAGTTTTAATTTAGAAATTGTTCACATTTTAAGAGTTGATAATTTCGTATTATAATCTATTAAATGCAACTCTTAAATCGCGATTACTGATAATCACATGAGCGGATGCACTCAATATTTGTTTCGGGCTTCATGCGATTAGAAAATAATCAAAATGTCTAACTGAAACCATGCATAAAAAAGTTTTCTTTAAAGCTCCCTTTATCGTTTGTAGAATTAAATAAAAAAAAAATGGTGATCTGATGAAGATGTATTTTTTTATCATACAAGAAAGTTAACCGATGTATCGAATTTCAGCAAACATTCTATTTTGAAATTTTTACATGCAAATAAAGATGTTATCTTTAATATCACTTTCTATTGTTTTATAAATTCAGAAATCATATGTGATTAAGTATTTTGAAATATTCTCGAATTTTATCATTGTTCCAATATTTTTATAATAAATTTATTTATAAACATTGCGTTTTAATAATTACCTTAATATAAAACATAAATTGATATTTACTAACTTTTGTCTCCAACAGTGCCCAAGGAGAAAGAAAAAATATTAGAAAAGTATTAAAAATGTATTAGTAGAATATCAGAAAAATAGTGTAAATATATCAAAAGAATATTACAAAAGTATTAAAAAAATATAAGAAGAATATTAGAGCAAAATTAGAGAAATATTAGAGAAATATTAGAGAAATATTAGAGAAATATTAGAGAAATATTAGAGAAATATTAGAGAAATATTAGAGAAATATTAGAGAAATATTAGGGAAATATTAGAGAAATATTAGAGAAATATTAGAGAAATATTAGAGAAATATTAGAGAAATATTAGAGAAATATTAGAGAAATATTAGAGAAATATTAGAGAAATATTAGAGAAATAATAGAAAAATATTAGAGAAATATTAGAGAAATATTAGAGAAATATTAGAGAAATATTAGAGAAATATTAGAGAAATATTAGAGAAATATTAGAGAAATATTAGAGAAATATTAGAGAAATATTAGAGAAATATTAGAGAAATATTAGAGAAATATTAGAGAAATATTAGAGAAATATTAGAGAAATATTAGAGAAATATTAGAGAAATATTAGAGAAATATTAGAGAAATATTAGAGAAATATTAGAGAAATATTAGAGAAATATTAGAGAAATATTAGAGAAATATTAGAGAAATATTAGAGAAATATTAGAGAAATATTAAAGAAATATTAGAGAAATATTAGAGAAATATTAGAGAAATATTAGAGAAATATTAGAGAAATATTAGAGAAATATTAGAGAAATATTAGAGAAATATTAGAGAAATATTAGAGAAATATTAGAGAAATATTAGAGAAATATTAGAGAAATATTAGAGAAATATTAGAGAAATATTAGAGAAATATTAGAGAAATATTAGAGAAATATTAGAGAAATATTAGAGAAATATTAGAGAAATATTAGAGAAATATTAGAGAAATATTAGAGAAATATTAGAGAAATATTAGAGAAATATTAGAGAAATATTAGAGAAATATTAGAGAAATATTAGAGAAATATAAGAGAAATATTAGAGAAATATTAGAGAAATATTAGAGAAATATTAGAGAAATATTAGAGAAATATTAGAGAAATATTAGAGAAATATTAGAGAAATATTAGAGAAATATTAGAGAAATATTAGAGAAATATTAGAGAAATATTAGAGAAATATTAGAGAAATATTAGAGAAATATTGGAGAAATATTAGAGAAATATTAGAGAAATATTAGAGAAATATTAGAGAAATATTAGATAAATATTAGAGAAATATTAGAGAAATATTAGAGAAATATTAGAGAAATATTAGAGAAATATTAGAGAAATATTAGAGAAATATTAGAGAAATATTAGAGAAATATTAGAGAAATATTAGAGAAATATTAGAGAAATATTAGAGAAATATTAGAGAAATATTAGAGAAATATTAGAGAAATATTAGAGAAATATTAGAGAAATATTAGAGAAATATTAGAGAAATATTAGAGAAATATTAGAGAAATATTAGAGAAATATTAGAGAAATATTAGAGAAATATTAGAGAAATATTAGAGAAATATTAGAGAAATATTAGAGAAATATTAGAGAAATATTAGAGAAATATTAGAGAAATATTAGAGAAATATTAGAGAAATAATAAATAAATATTAAATAAATGATAAAGAAATATTAGAGAAATATTAGATCAATACATTAAGGATTTGGGAAACTTAATTTTTTGTATTTAACTGGTACTTTTGAGGTATTCAGGGTCAAAGTTTATGGAATATTTATCTTTTGCCACTCAATTTTCTACTGGGTTTATAAAATGATGATATTTCCATTCTTTTGTGGTCCTTTGAGATGATTTATATAGTGAAATTACCTGCTACTCTAAAAATAAAAAACTAAATATTGATACACAAGCAAATAAAAAAATTTTGGTTAATACTTTTATTAGAGAACAAAAAAAAGTACTATATACATTCTCTTCGTCACTCTGTTCTCTTTTTTGAGTAGTGTGATATTTCAGTAAAAAATTCTCTATTTTACAAGTCCGACCTGTAGACAAAGTGGCGATACTGACTGATCGCAAATGTTGATTTAGATAAACTAAGGCTTTGTAAAGACTTGAGTAGGCGAATCTGAAATTATTAAATATCTGTGATTAATAAAATATGTCTGGACACAAATTTGTTAATATTGCCTTTAAAAATTTAAAGTGTGTAAAGTGTAGTGCATGGAGACATTATTCTGGAATCTGGAGTTTTCGGTAGAGAAGGTATGCGGGGAGATTAAACTATGTCGACGAAGTCATTTGATGATGTTTGCAGTCGTAGAGCATCATCAAATTTATTTTGTTACTTCAAATGGGCCCACACCAAGTTTATCTGCTATTCTTTAAAAACGTGTTACTATAACCCCTCATCATTTTAAAAACATTGTTTCCAGTATTGTTAGATTCGTCGGTACAATACCAAAACCACGAATGTGGAAAAGTACCTTAACAGACATAGTAACCTTGAAAGTTATTAATACCAAAGTCACGAATTTGCGTTGAGGTTCTAACCCCCCCCCCCTCTTAAACCGATATCTATTTTTAGAAGCAGGTCTACAATTTATAAGGGTCAAATGTATCACATTCTCAAAATTGAAAATTTGCACATTCGTGGTTTTGGCATCGTATCGACAATATTTTTATGTCTATTGGTAATTGGTGTCAATAAGAATCTAACGTCTAGGCATAGGTAATAGGCTACTTCTGAATTTTTATTTTTGTATCCATCTAGACTAGACACTTCAATGATACTTTTGATTCTCTGCTCAAATGATTCGGAAATTCTCTTTTTGGACCAAAACATTATTTATTGATGTGACTAGAAGGTAATAAAAAAGCACTTAAACTTTTATATTTAAAAATCCATTGTTCATTTATAAAAAAGACAATAAAAAATTAATTTAGAAATCATTAGCGTCCGTTCTAGAAATTCCTTTCGAACAAAACTCTATCTATCTACCAACATAATATACATAATAAATCATTCGAATTATCTTGGTCATTAGTATTTACTTTGAATAAAATATTATTTGGTTGAAACATGTTTAATTACAGTCAACAGCTTTTCTACTTTAAACTCAATTGATTATTGTATCAAAAGAAATACATTTTACTTTAACTTTCACTAAAAAGATGCAATAAACCATTTTATTTTGCAATTTAGAAGCTTGTCATTCTGCAACCGGTTTTTGGGGCTCTTCAGGCAGAGGTAGAATCTCTAATCCAGACAGAAAATGAAAAAGTCACTACAGATGCCTGCATAGAATTGGTATTAACCTAAGAGTTAACCCGCGCCTAAGAATTCCTCCAGTAACTTCTCGAAGGAGTCCCCTTGTCTCTGTCTAGCGGTATCGAAACACATATGGCGACTTGTACGGCAAGAAGACAAGGGTTGGACCAGGCCTCGCACAAAATTGCCTTCTCCTTAAGAGATAATTCCTCCTGAAACTAAAACAGAATGGTTGTATCAGCAACTGGACCCACTTTTACAATTTCCAATTGCATGGAAGTAACAAAGGACGGTCTTCGCTGTAACCTGGACACTGAACGAATGGCCGCATACTAGTATTTGAACCTTGTTAGGTTTCTAATGATTCTCTAATTCAGCTAGTTGCTCTCTATCTTTGACATGGCTAGTTTCTGTGCATTGGACTCCAGTAGCTACGTGCTCCATACACCATAATAAGTAGATCGATCTCGGAAGGTGTTTTTTGTTATCAAATAGAAAAGGTACCGTGACACATCGCGAAGTTTCAAGACTTTTCCGAAGACTGTTAACTGAACTTAAAGTTCTGGCAATCGACCAAACGTCTTTCGGAACACAGATGCCAGACCTCGAGTATCGTTTATGATGGCGGAAGTGCTATGGACCAGTGAATAGTCTTTAGGAACCGTGAGCAGATCTTGTTGTTGCTCGATTGTAACACTACATTTTGCTCTTCCGCTACTTCTATATGCACCCATACATTTTTCAACGACAAGGGGTCCTATGATTGAACGTTTACGTTATCCGTAACGTACATGTTAGGCCGAGTTTTAACAGTAATGAGGCAAGTTCGTATGATGGAAAACTTTTTCCAACACGTTACTGTTATTTTCCGCCTGTTATCTTCTAATTTAACAGTTTTCCATCATCCGAACTTGCCTCGTTACTTTTAAAATTCGGATAACGTAAACGTTCAATCATAGCACCCAATGTCAGTTGTTTCTTGGGGATAATTTACTTTTTCTTCCTTGTCATCGTCACACTCAAATGGAGTCAGCCGGTTTTGGTGCACTATCTGTGGTTAACAGTTCGTGATCTTACTTATGCAGTAAAGGACGTCGTCAGTTTTTTCTTGTTGAGGTACGGGCCTTTGGAGCTTTGGAGAATTACCCTTTTGCCTTTTTTGGGTTATGAAGCCAGACTATGTCGCCTTTCTTGAAACATTCTTCTGTGGCTTGGGTATGGTACTGATCTTCATCATGTTGCTGGCGATTTAAAGATGTGAACGAACCAACTTATGCATATTGTTCAGTTTTCGATTCAGGTTGGTATCCAAACTCTAGGTCGCACGTTAGTCCCATCTCACACCCAAATAGGACTTCTATCGGTGTTCGACCTGTTAATTCATTAACAGCGGATGTGCCATTACGTAGCGCGAAAAATACTGATCCCAATCTCGTTGATGGTTGGAAACTACTTTTGAGAGGTATTTGCCAATGGTCTTATTCATTCGCTCTACCATTCCATCAACCTGTAGGTGCAATCCCGTAGTTCTGGTTT